GTTTTTTATATTTATATCAGAAACCATATATTAAAAAATTACTTGATAAATTTAAAATGTCTGATTGTAAAGCAGCCCAAACTCCCATTGAACCAATATCTACAGCAGTTGATTTTCAGGAAGGAAATGCATTTCATGGCCCATACAAAGAATTAATTGGATCTTTACTTATCATATATTACAAAGCCAGATATTTTATTTGCAGTAACTTGCTTAAGCCAACTGCAGGAGCATCCTACTGACGTTGCCTGGTGTGCTGTAAAGATAATTCTTAGGTACTTGGAAAAACACCTTAAATTAAAAATCGATATACAAAAAGGGTGATTTGGAAAGGGCAAACTTATGTTTGTATGTAGATGCGAATGGGGGAGAGATACTTAATATAGGAAATCAATTACTGATTACTTTATAATGTTTTCAAACTGTCCTATTATGTGGTGCTGTAACAAGCAAAAGTGTATTGCACTTTCATCAAAGGTATTCAAGATGTTTTATGGATAAAAAATGTAGTAAATGAAATTTCCAGTGTTAAAAATGTTTATATTTTTGAAGATAACCAGTCATGTATTAAAAGTATTGTTAATGAAAACGTTTCAGGTCCGCTGAAACATATAAAATTAAAGTTTAAGACTTTTAAAGAAAATAATATTAAAATTGAATATGTACAATCAAGTTTACAAATCACAGATATGTTAACTAAGGCTCTGTCCAAAACAAAATTCTATGAACTGTTATCATTGAGCTGTTTAAAAATTGTGTAATTCTTCTATGTTTTCTATAACGTGTGATTAAGGGGGAGTGTTGAGATATTTGTAATCGCATTCTTATTGGTTAATAGAAGTATAGCTTTCTGTCAAGTCCTACGTATTAGCTTTCAGTCAGATCCAAATTATTCTGAAAATTAATCCCATTCTTTGTTATTTTTTATTGGTGGTTTTATTGTGTCTTGTTTATGATTTGTTAAACCATGATCTGTTGTAAAGTATATATATATATATATATATATATATAACCTCTGTAAACTTTTTCTCTCTCTTCATGTAGCATGTAACTTTGCTTATTTCTCTGCGCGTATCTCTGCATATCTCTGTAATAAATATTGGTTTTTCGAACCACGGCATTTTTAATGTTCAACAAGTGGAGAACGGAAGTGGATAACAGTACTTGACCATACATTAATATTTTTTTCAATCAAAAGGAACATGTTTCTGTACTTATCACTCCTTATTGACTGTTAGTGTCGATTGCTACAGTAGTTGGCTGCACTACCAGTATCAATTATCACTAGTACTAGTATCCCCCAACTGGTCACCATAACCAGCAACTACAACTAAACTTGTATAATAATACTATGAAATGTTCACCCAACAACATATTTTATGCTCAATCATTAAATACATTTTGCTGTGTTGTCAGCTGTTTGTATGCATCTATTTCTAATCATTTGCATGTATAAGCCGCACCCCTGAATTTCATATGCTTTTTCTGGAAAAAAAAGGGGGGTTACACTCGAGAGAATACAGTACAAGGTAAACAATAACTTTCAGGAATTTTTGTGAATAATTCTGCAAACTGGTATGTTTATATCACATTAGTAATTCAAATTAAAATCTGTTCTGCTTTGATATGTTATAGATGTAAGTTTCATCCACGTCTGTTGTCAGAAGTAATTACTTTTAATGATTTTTCATTTGCTGACAGATTATGACAATTCATCACTCACTGGCAGATATGCATATTAAAGCACCAAAAAGAGTTTAATTTCAACATATGCTGTCATTTCTGTTTATGACCAATATCTCAAAAGTAATTTCCTATTGGCAAATTTTATGTACCCAAGTCTTCAAATACAACAAAATTATAAACATCCATACCTTATCCAGGAATTTCTACCAGAGAAATAGCATGAATTTAATGATCAAAATTCCATTCAAATGATAGTAATAAAAAGAGTGGACAATAATAACAAATACTATTCATTAAATTATAGTCCATGTTATGAATTATGTGTACTATTCAGTTTCATTAAATTAAATTCCTTTCATGGAGAACGTAATTAAAAAACAGAACAGAACATCAACAGGAGACAAAACTGTCTAGACTGTTGACTGTTGTTTTAAGGATATTTCACTATATTTTTTTTCTTCTTGGAATTCATAAGAGCATTTTCTCTAAAGATTAATCTTTTACTACTTATATGAAGCTTACACCATTGAATTGACTATTGTGAATATTCTTAAATATGTGAAAATATTTTTTTTTCTTTTTTTAACAGTAATATTTTTACTGTTAAAAAAAAACAGCAGATTCTTGATTTGATGTTTTAGTAAAATCAATTCATGAAGTTTGTTTGGAAAGAAAAGCAGCATTTCAAGCAAATAGCAATACAATATTTCCAGCATTTTCAATAAATTTATTCTTAAATACAAAAATAATTAAACAGGAAGAAAATGATAGTAATAATTTATACAAAAATAATAAGCAGAAAGAAAGTAATAATAATAATTTACACAGAAAAAAAAAAATTTACAAGCATGTATTTTTTAAGAATTTTCATAATATAATGAAAAATAATGGATGGGATCAATCATCTACAGGATCACACACAGCATGCATGATCCTGAGCTTAATTTTTGCTTTACGAGTTTTGTCCATATTTTTCAATTTATTGTGAAAACTCAATAAAAAATGCATGTCATTATCATAGATTTCTTGCGAGATCAACTCATTATTTTGTTCGGATACGATTACAACTCATTCGTATACAATGTGCTCCATATTTTTAAAAAAATGTCGCTTTCGATGTGACAGCAAAATCGTCTAAAGAAAGCTGCTTCGCTCTGATTTTTCAACACTTATCCCAAACTCGGCGTAAAGTTGAAAACTTGGAACCTTGTGCCACAAGCTGTAAACCAGATTGTGTGACGTAGCACAGACTGGTTGCCTTGGCAACGCAGCTCAGCTTTAACCACTTATGCCCTTTACGCCCCCGTCTGAACACAGCTCAATAGACATGGCATTAATGTCTAACTCCTTAGCAAGCTCTCGAGTGGTTGCAAATGGATTTCCTTTTACAAGTTCTCAAAATCAGGCCTCATTAGCATCAGTAGGCCAGCCAGAGCACTCTGCTTCTTGAATGTCATAGTCCTTGTTTGAACTTTTGGTACCAAACCTTCACAGTATCATATGATACAATATTAGTACCTAAAGCTATAGACATGATTTAGTGACATTCTGTAGCTGACTTTTTGCAACAGCCCTAGAAGTAATTGATGGTTCTAATCTGGTAGCGTGATATTTCCATTTCAGACACTTTGTACGTAATGATATTTTTTTCATAACACAGTGTTCTAAAGCAAGTCTCTTTCAAATGCCAAAAATCATTTGACAAAATACGATTAAACATGCCAACATGAACTGTTTGTGCAGAAGATATTTGCTGTGGTAGGAAACTTTCATTAAAACCCGATATATTAGAAATGGCTTGCATGATTATTACAAAATTTGGTATTGGTGCATAATTTGAGGTATAGAAACAAACTATGGAAATCAATCAGCCTGTAATTGTAGAAAAAGTTTTCATCTGTGTCATAATATATATGTTAGATTAGTACTATTTATAAATCTATCTTAAGTTGCCCTTTCAAGATGCATAAAGGGCAATTCAGAATTTGTCAATCAGTGTGTTAGAACAGGGGAGCTGTCCCTCTTATTTTTGACTTGCTATGCATTATATGGTTGCTCTTTCCATTTTGGAGATTTCAGATCAATTATCAGTATAATCTTTTTTTTCGATGTTATTAAATTTGGTCTATCAAGTCTCCTATTCAGATATACATGCTTTCTTGTTCCTTTTCTTTAGTAAACCTTAAGAACATTAGGTACCAGAGACATATATCACATAGCCGAGCTTAAGAAAATCAGTGCTTTTGATGTTTGGTATTAAGCGTGCTATTCTGAATTTTTTTTTAATATTTTTTCCTTTATATGTCTTGAAATGTGCTTCACAAAAAATGTATTTTTCATTGATACACATAAGAAATAAAAATTGGTAGTATGTGGTGTTCAGTATGTAGTGCAGTACTTTCACTGTAATTGAATTTCAGCATTTTAGTCTTGAAATGGTTGCTATTAATTTTATCAAGATGTGTTTGTTCTCTGTGTTGTCTCAATCTCATCAAATTTCATCTCATCAAGGTGTGAGAGTTTAAAAAAAAGGACATTTTTTTAATTATTTATTTCTTCATATTTTGATCTAATTTTGATATTCATATTTGATATGAAATTCCAATACAAATACAATAATTAAAGCATTGAATTAGTTTGGTGTACCTTGATAAGACTCTTAGTACTGCTTTGTAAGTAGTATCAGATTTTTAGAAATTTCCACGATCATTTTTCTTTGGTTGCTAACAGTATTACTTAAAACGTTTTTACACTAAGACTTTAGAATAAGTTCTTTGCTAGGCAGTGAATACCACTGAGCTACTGTGATCAGAAGGCATATAAAAATTCAGCACATTAAGGACAGAGTTAAGGACTTTTCTCAGTTAAAGACAGAACAAGGTGAGCCCACATATTTTAGCACAATAAATAAAACATAACTTTTGATCCTAGTGATCACACTGCTTAAGCTTGCACTGCTTTGGTGTATATGCATGCTTTCGACTGAAAAACTGTAAATATTTTATTTCTAGCTTTTGTGAAATCAAATTTTATCATCGGATGTATACTGAATGATTATGAGATTACGTAAACCTACAAAACAATGTTATGCATGAATATATTCATTAAACTGGCTACAAAGACATAAGAATAATAAATGTTAATATTTATTCTAATATCTATTACTTTTGAGGAGTTGTGTTCTACAGCTAAAAAACTTTTATGTTTTTTTTTTTTTTTTTTTTTTTTTCAAATTTACAATTATTTTTAAGCAAGTATTTAGCATTTGAGCTTGTCTGTATGAATGTATTAATTTTACTTTCTTTTACCAATAGCATGGTTACGTGGAAGACATCAGGATCCCCCAACATATGAAGTAAGAAATTTTAGATCCCTGTAATAAGTTATTGATAATTTAGGGAATAAATCAATAATTAGGAAGTGAAGTTACTACATGTTTTTAAACTCTTGCAATAAGCTGTAAAAATGCGGCTATACCAATTATAAAAGTGCAATATGAAAGCAATGTTGAGGAAAAAATAGTTATTTTTTAACAGCTCTTATATATATTGTGACTTTCATTTGATATTTAGTTCCATTCTTTTAATGTGTAATTAATTACTTTCAATTCTTAACCCAAATCAAAAGAGCAAGGCATTAATGCATTTGTCATTTTTGTTACTATTTTTCCATATGCATTGTTTATGTAATTGTTCAAAATATTTAGTATTCATAGTTATTGTTAAATAAATATATACCTAATGTGCAAAACTTAAGCAGTGTTTCTGATTTTGGCCGTAAATCCGAAAAAAATCAACTGGAAGACATGAATTTCTTACTACAGAGGCACAATACAGTACTTAAATGATGAGGAAACTTTAGTAACAAAAAATTAATAGGATGCATATACAGTGGAGCACCATTTATACATCTTTCAAATGTTTTTGAGTAAATATTTGTTGAAATTTCTCAGCACTCAGTCTGAAGTGCTTTAAGAGAATTTGTTTAACTTTCTGATATTCCTGAGCATCATCAAAAGATTCTTTTGCAGTTAGTTTTGCAACATTGGTTGGCAAAAGTCCAACAAGATAGATTAGCCATTTTGAAACTGGTCCCTGTAAAACGTTGCCTGTCAGACAAGTCCGAAAATAAATTCATATCATCTATTTTAGGATCAAAATTAGGAACTAATAGTTCTAAATTAGGTATTTCTGCTTCTGCAAAAGAAGACACTGTTGCTGACTCTACTTTTCTAGGAATAATAACTAGATTGTAAGTTTAATTTCTCCAGCTCAAACAACCATTCATTTTCTTTCTCTCTATTAGCACTCTCTTCTGTTTCCATTGCTTTCTTAGTATTTTTATGATGTGATTCAAACGTCTTTTGTAAACTCCGCATCATGCATGGGATTAGTGATTTTAGCATCCGTTATTTGAAGGATCTTAAAATTTCCCTCTATTACTACACTTAGTGTCTCTGCTGATTCATCTAAATCCTGTTTCTTTCCTTTTGCTAAATAAGCCCTACTTGAATGAAGTTGATAAATTTCCGCAAAATGTACACCTAAACCTAAAACTTTTAGTATGCCAACATGTATAGAGGTTTATAATATTTTTATATAAATTTGGTACACATCAAACATATATATTCAAAAGCAAAATATAATACAAAATAAGAATTCATTTTGCATCACTTCCTATTAATGCAATATATAGCAACTTGAGACTAAATTTCTATACCTTTTCTGTTGTTCTTTTTCAAGATTCGCATCAAAATTAAGAGTTTATTATGTATTTATTATATTTGATTTTTATTTTCACTGCTTCATATTGAAACGTACATAGAACAAAATATTTGAAATTTATATGATATATTCAGTCAAATATTATTATTCTTTTAAATTGCCAATGTAGCAGGTGCTACCACAAAATTCCTCATTTAAATTGTAGCAGTACTTCAAAATTTATCTTTCGGTGCTGAAGGAATTGGTATGCAACAGAACAGCGAAAATAAAATTAAGTCAAGATGACCAGATTTCTGGTGCGAATGTACTTAACTACAAATCATCAAACGTTAAAGTTTAGTTATCTTGAACGTGCCCATGAATTGGCCATCATCATCATTTTTGGTTTTGGCAACCCATATGGGGCATTTCAAACAAATGTTTCAAACAAATGCCAAAAAATTGGATTTTCGACCTAGTAGTTGGTCTACCACATTTATAACAGAAGTATCAAATACCTTTCTTTAAAATAAACACACATCAAAATTATTTTCAAAATATTTTCTTTTAAACATAATATAAAAAGAATTACAAGTATAGTGTTAGTGCCTGAGGTGGATTATATAATTTTCTATCATGGTATAAGATATTTCTCCCGCCTTCGTGGTGTAGTGGTCTGCATGCTGGGCGCATATTCCAGAGGTTCGTGGTTTGATTCCCGATGAAGGTGTTGCTCATTTTTTATTTCTCCTGCTTCTAAAAAAATACCTAATGTCTCTACAGTGGTGCTTTCAGAAAAACAACAGTCGTATTTTTGCTGTCCACCAGCAGTGACACAATCCAAATTCAGGGATTAGGAGTGAGGAGAGAAAAATTCTTGACTGAGTTCAGCCTCAGAGTGAGGGGAGAAAAATTTGGATTTTTTTTTTTTTTTTTTCATTTGTTAGAGTATGATTTTAAACTTAATTTCTCTTAACCAATGTTTTAGTTATGTGATTAAAGTCCAATGGCTTCCGATAATCGATGTTCTGCTGTTTGCAAAATTTTAGGAAATATGCTTTTTTCTGTTTGTAAAATTTTAAGAACATTTTAAAACGGAATGAAATTGACGAGAAAGTCAAATTAAAATTTGAAGCAATAAATTAAGTACTAAAAGATTAGAAAATGTACCAAATTTAGCCAGAAAACTTGAAATATAATTAAAATTTAGAACAGTAAAATTAATATTTAGTTTATATATTTTACTTTAGAATTCTGTTGTATGTAGTTTAATAATCTGGGTGATGCATTATAAAGTGAATTTGAGTCAAGTTTATCAGCAGAAAGACCTGTTGAAAATGTGAATCCATGCAATGCAGCCTCCTGGTATTGAATAATTCAAGACTGGCAGCTTTATTGTGTAAGTTATTCCTTAATACCCTGAAATTTTAACTTCTAAAACATTTCCTTGTCTTAACATGTTAAGTGCCATATCAGTCACTGGTGACTGTCGCTACTTTCTGTTAGGACTGCAACCACAACAGTCACTGTTGACTGACAATATGCAGTTTAAAAAATTATATTCTATCAAATTCCACACATATCTCCAGCTGCCAGCATATTAGTGAAATTTGATATCATGAGCCAAATGGAAAGGAAGATCTTGTTTTAAGTATTGTCTAATTCTCTCCTGAATTGCCTATTTAGTTTGTGGTTTACATAGAGATACAGAAGTTGAAAAGACGCGTCTCACAATTCTGCAGTTTTTGCTACCCTTCTATATTTAGCATTTTAAAAAAACTGTTGTTGCAGTATACCTGTGCCTGAAGAGACCAAGGTTGAAACTATAAGTCTTATTTATGATAATTTTGCCTTTTTATTTTTATTTCTTTCATATAAAGTAATCTGGTTCAGAATGTATTGATTCATTTTCCCACAATATGAAGTGACTGCTATTTCACATGTACACATGTACACATTTTTATTTTCTACTTGTTATGAACAAGGATTTAATACAATACATGATTGCAGATTTAGAAGATAAGTAATTACATATTGGATAATAAAAGTAATTAGAAATTGGTAAAATTATTTGCAATTATTGCTTTAAAAAATTATAAAAGAGAAAGAAGAAACAAAAATTATTCAGTAAAAATTTATACTTATTCCAAGAAAATAAAATGCAGAAATTTTGACTCATATATGGCAAAAATTAACTTAATTCAAAGTTGATATACCATTTAATGCCACTGGATGGTATTCCTTTCTGATTTACTCCCTTGTAATCTTTCCTTGTAATTTGTATGTCCATGATTTTATTTCCCATGTAATTTGTGATTTACTCCCTTTAACCTTTTAAGCAGGAAACATTTTTTCGGTTTCTCATGAAAGGCTATGATTAAAGGGCATTTATTTAACAGATTTTATAGTTATTAACTCTTTATAAACTGTCATCCTAATCAGTTTAGTGGTTAGTGATGATGGCTCTTATCATTCTAGGACCCAGGTTTAAATCTTGCAGTATTTGTAAAAGTATATTGTGTGTGCGACGTGGGAAAAAACACTTAAAATAATGACGAGTCAAACTTCTTCTGGAATGGTTTGGTGATAGGGAAAGATTAGTGGCAGACTCTCAGATCTGTCCCTGAAGGTGCACTCTATCAAAACTGGCACATTACCTGTACAATTGGTGAGGTAGGTCTACACCTACAAGACCATCTGGTGAAGTTGTGGTGTCCCACCAAGGTTTTTCAGTCCTGTCTTTTTATACTTTGATTCATTAGGATGATAGTAAAACTTTTAAAGAAAATATGGAAACAAAATATTTTAATAGCAAGTTAGCATACATGGTTAGCATAAATTCTTTACTAATTAAAGAATTAACTCTGCAATGATTAGTATAGCTGTTCATCTATGGGTTTTGGAAAAGGTATTTGCACTAATTGAGTTTTTAATGAATGGTATTACTTTTATAAACAATTAGTAAATTTCATTCTGTGCCTTTTATATAGCTTGGATAATATGAAATCATTATTCCAATATTTGCTGTCTAGCAGATGACACAGCATCTATATTCTGGCCCTCAAATACACTAGTTTATCAATATCATAAACTAGTGTAGTCCTCTATCCAATTCATAAACATAACTCATGTGCAAAATTAAGAGAAGTTGCTCATTATGTCGAATTTCTGAAAAACTAATCATGTGGTTTTAATCAAATTTGGTGTGAATATGCATTTATAACAGAGAAAAAGATGTACCTCTCAAAAGTCATTTTGTGGACGTGTGATTATCAGTAAAAGGTCATAGTGCATGGATGTCCAAAATCCACATTAAATTGAAAATGTGTCTAATATGTGGTATGGTCCCTCTCACAGCCACACAAGTCATGCAACGTGACAGCATATTGGACAGGTGAGAGCAGGGTCTGGACACCCAGGAGACTTTCACTGACTATTCGGATATCGTAAGCAGTTGAGGATTCCCTGTGGCAGCTGACTCCTGCAACAAGGCAGTTTCCAATTGTGGGATAGTTGTTCTCAGAGAGGAGGAAGGCGAGATGAAAGTGCAACTCTCAAGAGCCTCCCAGACATGATCAGGAGATCTGGCTGGCCAATCCATGCGGCGAATATTCTCACTTTCCATGTAATCGCTTGAGCCCTATGTGAACGAGCATTTTTGTCCATTAACAGGAACCTAGGAGAAACTGCGCCCCTTAAAAGTCGGAACACAGGCCTCCTGTCTGTACCTCATAGCAGTCGGGGAGCCTTTGATAAACATGATTTTTTTCTTCTGGATAAACTTGTAGATAAATGCCAGATGTGGTCAAAAGCTTTGGCCATATCTAGTATGAAGATAGCAACACTCAATTTGTTATTCAAATCACTGCCAACAAATTCACTAATTCTCATACCTTGCTTCATAGTTGAAAAGCTTTGACAAGATCCGCATTGCTGATCTGCTATATCTTGGAAGTAATCCATTATCCTAGAATAGATGATTCTTTCATACATTTTTCCGAGAGTTGATAATAAACTATTAGTCAATAGCTGCTTGGGCGATTAGGAGGCTTGAGAATCATAAACATACAGTCCTGTTTCCAAGGAGGAGAAAAATATGAATTAGATAAACATACATTATAAATACTGCAAGATATGTGATATATTTAGTAGGAAGATTTTTCATCATGCTATTAGTCACGTAATCAGTACCGGGTGTCTTGTTAAGAGCGGAAGTTTAAATGATTTTCCTGATTTCGCTAAGAGTGCAGAATTTGATGTTATTTTCAACGTGTGGGATATTAGTTCAAATCTTGACTGTTTCAAAGATAATTTTATGTAATTCACTATTGCTTGGATAAGTAGTTGGCTGACATTGTGACTTCAGATATTCAGCAAACACATCAGCTTTTTCCTGGTTTGAATATGCTATGCCATGGTCACTCCTGATTGGTTGATTATAATGTCATTCCACTTTTAGGATATTCATGAATTTAAAAAAAGGAACTGTCTTCAACATTTAAGTTGTCCATTTTCTTTACCAGAATTTAGAGTTAATATCAAGAATAAGCGTCTTATTTTTCTATTTAAGCATTTAATTTGCATTTTAATTACCAGGTCTGCTTCAAGCTTTGCAAAGTTTGTCATGTTCCTGAATGACTTCACGGATAGACTTATGTATCCTACCGTGATTTTCCTCCATTTTAACTTTTGTTGCAGAATTTTCGGGGAAGTTCTGTGTATCAGCAGTAAAACTGGATTTTGCACTATTGATATGATGAAATAAGAAATCTATGCAATAAGTGATGTAAACACAAAAATCTCTTAAGTTGAGAGATTAGGCTCCAGACAACAGAATATTTTATTAAATGACACATGAAAACAGTTTTATAATAATGTACTCATAAAACTAAGTGCATCGGGGCCTTTTATGTTGCCACCTTGTCTGAAAATAATGTTAAGGAAAAATAAAATCATGTATTTGGCAACTTTAATCTTTGAAAATGTGTGTTAAAGCAAATTTTGCATTTTCTCTAGCAAAGCGATTAGACAATGTAATGGTAACTTGGTGGAGTTTCTCATTGGTGGATTGTTGATTAGATATACAGAATTTTATATTCAATATGGCATAAATAAAATTATTAAAGGAGTATGCATGTTATTACTAACTACATGCAGTTATATGTTAGACAGTTGATATGTGCAAATTTATATATAGAATTAAATTTAATTAGGCGAACTTATAATTTAGTAAAAAATAATCAAAATATTTTACACAAATTAGAAAAATATATATTCTTATAATTTATGTATTCATTTTGGCAGTCGTAAATAGCCTTACATCAATAATACTGTTTGAGCTGTGAATTTTTTGAACGGAAGTTCGACAAATGGAAATTGCTAATTGAAAAAAAAAAGAGCTGAGGATGAAAATGAATAGTAGGTAAGAACATTTTTTGCATTTATATTAATAGGTTACCAAGGGGCTGTTCCTGTTTTGTATTATACTGTTAAATATATATATTAATATATAGTTGTATTTTGATATATAGTAAGGACAAAACATTTTTCAGAGATTATTGTTTAAATATAAATAAAACCTCTTCCCATTTTGAAAATTGTCTTTTAATGCAGTTTTGAGTAGTATGCACTTAACTGCTTTAATTAGTTAAGCATTGTTTAATGTTATGTCAAAGCAAAGCAAGGGATTGTGATTTTTCACTGCCCCCCCCCAAAAAAAAATTATTAAGGTAAAGCAGACATTAAGTACTTCAGTGTGCACGGTAAGATGGTTTACCAACAAGCACTGAAGAAGTGAAGATAATAAATACGAAAAATAATAAATTTGTAAAGTAAATTCATGAAAGTAATGCCCCATTTGAATTATAACACTCTAATACATCGTAGATCATGTCTAACAGCTATTATACTTTATTCCAGTAACTTCTGACCATCCTTTACCAATTCAAGTTCTTACTGAAAAAACTTTTTTTTATACTCAGCTTAGGGTTGTTACAGTGCTCTCAGTGGGAGTTCTCAACATTCTACCATCGCAGTTTGACTTATTAACCATGTTTTTGTTTCACGGGATTCAGGAATTCTGTTTGAGAAGAAAGTAATTGCAAATTTTATTTGCATAATTTTTTTTTCTCTTCCTAATTTCAAAATAGTACTACTGTTATCTTCAGGACACATATTCTGAGTTCAAAGATTGTGAGCTATTTACCAAAAAAAAGTGCAATAAATAAATACCAGCCTTTAAAAAACAAGCAAAATTAATCTTTAGTTTGACATTAATTTTAAATGAGAAAACATATTGCATTTTCTTTA